TTTTTTTTGTTTTTTTAGAAGACGCCTAGGGATGCGATGGAACCGACCATAATCAACTGGAGCAAGCGCTTTTACCCCGGCGTCTATGCTTAGGGGCAGGAGGAAGCGCACCACGTAGAAAGCAGGAAAATCTTTCTGATTAGTGGCAAAATATTAAAGATCCAAACGTTTTGGGCGTTCATACACCAGAGTGAGTTGATTTTGGTGGCACAAATTGTAAGAAACAAAACAAACAATAACACAATTTACAGAGGCAAACGGAAAGCAACACACACCGGAGCCATCTTGGACCAAAGTCAGCCTTTAGAAGCAGAAACTACAGACTACTGCTGTACTGCTGAACCGATTTTAAACCGAAACTCTAAACATAACGACCATATATCCTAGCCGGGAACCCTGACGTTCACCTCGACAAGCCGTTAATGGTACTTCATAGTACAGACATCTGCTTTACACTTCCTTGTTTTCCGTGTCTCACTCCAGATCTTAATGTTAGGATTAATCAAGTTTGAAATAATCAGGTCTACAAGTAATCCGTGTAAACAAACCCCAGTTAGACCCTTCCTTCAAGACTTTGATACAATTTAAAAGTGTAACGTTTACAGATAAATTTGCGAGAGACAGCTCTCTCGTTTCCGTACCTGCTGTTGAAGGTCCCGTTTTAAATCCAATCTGGCATTTCCTTATTCGATTCAAATAATTAAATAAATAAAGTTAAAAAGTCCTAGTGACTCTATCGACGCTACTCAGGTAAAGACATACACGTTTGTAATCTTTTCCAGTTCTTCAAAAACTCCGGAAATGAATAGTCCCGCCTAGTGATGGCCAAATGAAGCTTTCTGAAGCTTGTATTGAAAAACGGTTCATTACTCGAAGCTTTTCAACACAGTCCTCTCTGGTGACATCTGGTGGCCAAAAATATGAAGAGCAGCTTGAATCCACAAAATAAAACCAACGCTTCCTTATGATTGCCCACTCTACAGAGTGGAATTTTGTCTGATATTGGGCCGCCGTTGTGTTGCTTTGAACGTGTATTTTTTGGGGTTAAAAAATGTGGTTTATTTGTTTAATAAATAATTTCGACCAGCAAATTTTCCTTGTTTAAACATGCACCATGGTGTGGTCTTTCTTTGCTTTTCACTTCTTGATGTTGGTAAATACAATAATTGAAAAACACCACGTTACATATAATATACATATAATAATGTACAACACATTATGGAGTATGCTTCTGCTGTGAGGTCCTGCCTCCATGCACTTGTGAAATTAATCGCAAGATGGGTGTATTTCTCAATAATATTATATTAGGGAAATTTTACTATAAATATTTCTGACCTGGGGGTAGAATTGATTGTGAAAGGGAAAATGCTTATGAACTTGCAAATTAAAAACATGATGCATTTAAGGTAACTCTTTTTCATTTTTATTTAAGAGGAGAATTTGTTCCACTGTGCGATGGCCGAACCTGTTCCTTTTTGTGGAGATAATTTCTCCTGCATTAAGGAAAATCCCTTCACGTGGAACAGAGGAGGCTGGAGTGCAGAGAAACTGGTAGAGATGCAGCTATACAGTCTACCTGGGCCCCACAAACTATCAGCTAAAGAGAATAAATACATTAAATTGCTGCACATTTGGCAGACTAACATTTTAAGATTAATTGAAAAATAAAAAATATATATTTTAACATTAAATGTAACGAGTCAAATGGAAGTTTTTCTAAAGATATTTGATGATATTTATATTATGAAAAACAGATTTTTGACATTTTGAGTTTTTCCCGTTTTCATATAAAATAAACACGCACAAAACAAAAGCAAACAGCCAGAACACAAAGCTGGAAAACCCACACGAATGACCAAAATCTACTCAAAATACTCCCACACAACAGAACCTCCTCTATTCCTCGCTGGCTCCATGTCTCCCAGTAGAAATATCAGTGGTTTGCTATCTGTCACCATCAAAACACTCCTCAAATCCTGCGAATGACTCACTTCCTTATAAACCATTGAATCAGACTCCGAAGCAGTCACGTTCTAAATTTAGCTTCGGACATCACTGATCACGTGACTCTGGCCAAACGAATCAAGCTTCGACTCGGTGCTTCTGAAGCAGTGTGTTGATTTTTTTTGACACACGCACCGGAGCGTCAGCTTCGAGGAGGCCATCACTAGTCCCGCCCACCTTTCTTTCAGATTTTTTTTCTCTTTTTCTTTAAAGTAGACCAAACACTTTGTTTAAACATTTAACATTTATTTGCTAATTTAAAAAGAAACTCTTGGCTTTAAAGGATGTGTTGATCTTTTTCTTTGTTGGTTTTTTTGGGTTGTTTATTAAACAAAGAATAAATAAAATTGTGTCCGGGGATGGGCGTCCAGGTACACACCGGCTCACTCCTTGGTGGCTGCTTATCGGGGCCTGGGGCTCGCTCGGGCCACTTCGGGGGTGGGGTGCCCTCGGCCTCTCGGCCTGAGGCTCGGTCACTCTGGCGCAGCTGGCTGCTGGCGGAGCTCACGGGCACGTCACTTTAGTTGTTTTTTGTTTTTTTTGCCCTTTATCCCCGTCCCTCTTCTCCGCTGTTTTTCCCCCTCTTCCTTTCTCCCTTTTCTTTTCCTCATTCAAGTCTGTCCCGTATCTAGCAAGTGAAAATAAAAAATAAAATAAAATAAACAATAAAAGGTGAATCAAATAGACCATTACGGCAAGGCTGGGATGGTCCATTTGGTAAAGTAAATCCGTTGGGCATCTTTCTGCGCCTTTAGACAATAATTCTGATGCAAAAGAACCAAACGGGACAGGCAAAAAAAAAAAAAGAATAAATAAAACTGTCGAATAAAGTAACACCATGAGGCATCTGACATTAACGTTTGCTGCCACGTGACCTGGAGAACGTGAAACAAAGAAAAACAATGGGTCTGTTAAGAAATACACAATATTATTATTACATTAATTTAAAACAAACGTTATTTATATTCTGTTTTTAAGCGATTTTATTCATTTTCTTATCACTGTAGTTGGAGAAACCTTTGTGACGCTTGCCTGATGGACATTACATTATTGCAGTCTCAATAATTTTCACTGACAGTTCACAACAGGGGTGGGCAATTCCAGGCCTCGAGGGCCGGTGTCCTGCAGGTTTAGATCTCACCTTGGGTCAACACACCTGAATCACATGATGAGTTTGTTACCAGACCTCTGGAGAACTTCAGGAGCTAATTTAGCCATTTAAATCAGCTGTGTTGGTTCAAGGACACATAAAACCTGCAGGGGCACCGACCCTCGAGGCCTGGAGTTGCCCACCCCTGCATTAGAACAAAGACAGTCAGGCAGTTTTCCAGTCCACCGATTACAAGACAACAACTGACAAAGCCTTATCTATTAGATAAGCTTGATTTGAACTGTGATTGCTAAAGTCGTGTACAGTAAATGTTTGCAGTTCAAAGGAAATCACAGTCTGGCATATCCTTTACTGTCAGCAGAGTCACAGAGATGTAGACAGATTTGAATCTGACCTGAAAATAAATCTGTAAGTGGTCTGTTTTATATTGACCACAGGATGACAGTAAAAGAGGTTAAGGACACAAAATAGCAAACTAACATCTAACTGTGATTTCATTTTTTGAATAAACATATACTTCTAGTACTAGGGCGATCGTGGCTCAAGAGTTGGCAGTTCGTCTTGTAATCGGAAGGTTGCCGGTTCGAGCCCCGGCTCGGACAGCCTCGGTCGTTGTGTCCTTGGGCAAGACACTTCA